CCCCCCCCCACCTTTCAGTGGTTTTGCACGTAAAAATTTTGGTGTCTCCTTTAAATGCAACACTCTCTTATCTGATTGCGTGCCGGATTTTCGTACAACGCTAATAATTTAAACTTCATATTTCTCTACCGTCGGAAATACTCTTGGACGTAACAATATGTAAGATTAATATTAAAGATAAATTTAATACTTTTTAAATATATCTTAATATAATTTTTATTGTTTTGTCACAATTTTTTTATTCAAAAACCATTCAAACGAAATAGCCTAACAACCCGCCTTCGCTTTATATAATGGACGCCTTTTGCAGCCTCCATAATAGAAGTTTTTGGCCCAGAGCCACTTATAAAAGCAGCTTTAGTCCATAAGTCCATTGAATGTCTATTTGAAGGAAAAATAAAATATTTATTTTACATTACATTGACAGTACTCCTCATAATTTTTATATTTGCAAACTCAATATTCTCGATAATTTTAAAATTTACTCTAAACTTGCTTATCTCTCTCAATCCGTACCGGAATAACAAATTCCTTTTCTATTAATCTTTGCGTTATTTGATAATAATAATTGAAAAGTCATAAAAAATATCATTTTGCTCGAACAATTCATATATAAATATGGAATGCTTATAGTCATAATATGAATACCTTTACGCTTTGCACAGATGTATTGAGCCATTCTAGGATTCCATTTATTAGTACCATGACCAAAATGAACTCCTGCTTCCATCATTTCTTCCAAATTGATGTTCCAATATCGTCTTCCCATTTTCCCACACTTTCTCTTTTTCTTTTTTTTTTTCAAAGAGATTCAGTACCTTGTGAAATAAATAATTGTTACGAGACAAATTCAACAAGTTAAGATTGTTTAATTCTAACATCGTTAAGGTACATAAATGCTTAACAAATGTTTCATGATTGAGAGAATCATTATGGGTAGTCCGATTGAGCACTCCGAATTTATCATGGATCTTCTTCATATTTACAAAACATATCACTCTCAAAATATATAAATATTCATGTTCTTTCCACATGAAAAAGGGCATAGACCTTTAAAAATTTGGACCTTGACTAGAGACTCAAGAAAGTTCTGAGTTTTGATTTCAATTGAGGAGCTCCATAGATATAATATTCTCATTTTAATTATTCATTATTTTTTAGTGAAACCCCTTAAAAAATTAAGCTAAAATAACTTTAAATTAAGCATTTTAATAAAGAAATATAAATAATTCCACTAATTTGTAATATTATATTATTAGCATACATCAACTATTTTATTTGTTATTTTTAAAATATTAATTTTACAAATAATATTTTAAACTTATTTTTTATAATATTTAAATATCCCTCCACTCTTTGTTTAGTATTTAAAAATTATATTATTTAATTAAATTTAATTAAAATAAAGATTATAATCACTGAAGATTTTTCCTAATAATGTTTTATTATCTAGATAAAAAATAATTTATAACATCATTAATCAAATAATATTTTATTTCCTATATAATATTTATATTTAAAAACCTTAAATAAAAAAAGCGCAAAAGCAAACTTTTTTTTCAAATAAATACAGGAAGCCATAATCCTTCACCCAAACATCACTCCTTCCTTTCCCCTTCCGCACTCGATCATGACCCCCTCCCCTCCTCCCTTCCATTTCCACCCTCTCAAATCCTCTACCATGCCCATGAAACTTCTCCGAACCGACCCGCCCGAATACTCCGCCGGCGGCCGCCCAAGAACCCAAGCCCTCCTCCGCCCTCACCGTCGAACCAACCCTTTTATCTGGTTCGCCGCCTTCCTCTGCGTCATCCTCATCGTCCTCCTCATTGCCGCCGGCATACTCACTCTCATCATTTTCCTCATCATTAAGCCCCGCAACCCTTCCTTTGACACCACCTCAGCAACCCTAAACGCCATCTATCTCGATTCCTCCGCTTACCTCAACGCCGACCTCACTTTCCTTGCCAATTTCTCAAACCCTAACACCAAGATCGACGTCGTCTTCGAGTATGCGAGCATCGAGCTCTATTTCCTCAACCGCCTCGTCTCCGCGCAGCTGCTGCCACCCTTCGTTCAGAGGAGGGGGGAGGCGAAGCTCCAGGCCGTGCATATGATTTCGAGCCAGGTTTACCTGCCTCCGGAGATTGCGTTGGAGCTTGTGACACAGGTGAGGACCAATAGGGTTTTTTATAGCGTGAGGGGGACCTTTAGAGTTAGGGCGATATTTGGCGTTGGCCACTTTTCCTATTGGTTGTATGGACGGTGCCAGATCGAGCTCACGAGTCCTCCCAGTGGAGTTTTGGTGGCGAGGAGTTGCAGAACGAAGAGGTGACGGTGAGTTCTCTGAGTTGGGAACGGTTTGATCTCTGGTTTTCTCTGTTACTTTAATGTTTTGGAAATTTCTTGACTGGCATTTTAATGGAGCGATTGCAGACCTTTATTTGATCCTGCGATCGATTGGAGGAATGGGAATATGCTATTTTTCCTGTTTTTGAGTTTGCTTTTAATGAATAATGGAATTAGGAGATGAGATTATTTGGAGTTTGGGAGTTCGTAGTTTAATTTACGAGTTTTTTAAGAGAATTTGGAGAGATGGGAAAGAAGAAAGAAAAGAAAAGAAAAGAACGATTCTGAAGCTTCTTCAAACTTTTGGTTTTTCAATGCTTAAGCACGAAGGATTTCGAACTGGCAAAGTTTTTTGGATTATGAGATCAAATTTTTTTTAATATATTTTGAAATTACTGCTATATTATTTATGCATGTATTATGCTAATCTAAGCTAATTTTGCATCAAAATATCATAATATAAAATTCATTTTTTTATCAAATGATGTATTCTCAATTTGTTTTTTTATTATTTGGATAGCTGTTTATCTTTTTCATTTTGGAAATAAATTAGGTAATTTTCAAAATTTTATAAAATATTGCATTAGTTATTTAATTTTCATTTATTTTTAATATATCTATCATGTAAATATGAAGCTAAGGTAACCTTTAGAAAATGGACCTGACCAGCCGGTTCAACTGGTTCAATGGAGAACCGGCCCAGTTACAAGTCCAATCAACTTCAAAAACATGATTGTAATCAATTTGAACCGCCCTTAAATGACAAATTTTTGAAAAGCAGTAGAATTTAGATCTATAAGAGTGCTATATTTGATATTAAAATTATATATTGGTGATATATATGTAATATTAATATTTTATATGTTAGATAAATAAATAATATGAAATAAAGCGGTATGCAAGCATGTAAATTTTAATCCTAATCTAATATAACCCTACGTATTCTGCACAAACCCTAATCAATCCCTATCTCTTGCAACTTATCTAATTCCCTTAGACAATCTCCAACCGTTTGGCAAACAACCGAATGGAGATCCTCAAATGTCGCAACCGAACGTCTTTTCCTCCACCATTTGATCGCGGATGAACAATGCGACGCCACTGTCATCTGTGCCATTTTTTGGTCTCTACCGAACTTGCGAAAGAATGGCCCGAAAGAAGAGAGCGACGGTTAGGTGGCAAAATGACATTAGATTAGAGATGAATCACGGTACTTTTTGGTTTCACTGCATTTTGGAGTGAAAAATGAATTTTTCTGTGGAGATGCCCTTAGTTGAACTCATGCAAAACCTTTGTTCTCTTCTCGAAAAGTACAGTGTTGAAATGATGACTCATCAAACTCCTCTGTAGGGCGTTATTGTAATGATGATTTAATTTTTAATTTGATGATTAATTTTACATTACAGTACCAATTTTTTTAATTAATAAGCTTTTAAAATTATGCATATTAAAATCAAATAATTTAAATAACACCAAATGAATTATGCTAATTTTTATTAAAATCATTAAATCCAATTATATCTATTAATTATGGCTTCATTTGGGATGGCTATCTTACTGCTTCTTAAAGCAGGTTTCTAGTAAAGCTTTTTTAATTTTTGTACTAGAAAGTAGCTTTAAGAGATAGTAAAAAAGCTCTCCCAAATGAAATCTATGTCATAAAAATCATCAATTCAATATATATATATATATATATTAAAATCATTAAATCCAATTATATCTATTAATTATGGCTTCATTTGGGATGGCTATCTTACTGCTTCTTAAAGCAGGTTTCTAGTAAAGCTTTTTTAATTTTTGTACTAGAAAGTAGCTTTAAGAGATAGTAAAAAAGCTCTCCCAAATGAAATCTATGTCATAAAAATCATCAATTCAATATATATATATATATATA